AACTGAATCCCTTTCTCTCGCCATGCACAAAAGTGAATTCAAAATGGATCAAGGAACTTGATATCAAATCAGAGACGCGCCGTCTGATAGAAGAAAAAGTTGGCTACGATCTACAGTCGGTGGGGTCGGGCTCCAAATTCCTCAATAGGACACCCATAGCACAAAAGTTAATAACTAGAATCAACAAATGGGACTTACTCAAACTAAGAAGTTTTTTCTCAGCAAAAGAAACAATAAGAGAGGTAAATAGGGAGCCTACATCCTGGGAACAAATCTTTACTCCTCACACTTCAGATAGAGCCCTAATATCCAGAGTATACAAAGAACTCAAAAAATTAGACAATAAGAGAACAAACAACCCAATCAACAAATGGGCCAAGGACCTGAACAGACACTTCACAGAGGAGGACATACAGTCAATCAACAAGTACATGAAAAAATGCTCAACATCTCTAGCTGTCAGAGAAATGCAAATCAAAACCACCCTAAGATACCATCTCACTCCAGTAAGATTGGCAGCCATTAGGAAGTCAAACAACAACAAGTGCTGGCGAGGATGTGGGGAAAAGGGTACACTTGTACATTGCTGGTGGGACTGCAGATTGGTGCAGCCAATTTGGAAAGCAGTATGGAGATTTCTTGGAAAGCTGGGAATGGAGCCACCATTTGACCCAGCTATTCCCCTTCTTGGTCTATTCCCTAAAGACCTAAAAAGAGCATGCTACAGGGACACTGCTACATCGATGTTCATAGCAGCACAGTTCACAATAGCAAGACTGTGGAACCAACCTAGATGCCCTTCAATAGACGAATGGATAAAAAAAATGTGGCATTTATACACAATGGAGTATTACTCTGCATTAAAAAATGACAAAATCATAGAATTTACAGGGAAATGGATGGCATTAGAGCAGATTATGCTAAGTGAAGCTAGCCAATCCCTAAAAAACAAATGCCAAATGTCTTCTTTGATATAAGGAAAGTAACTAAGAACAGAGTAGGGACGAAGAACAGGAGAAGAAGATTAACATTTAACAGGGATGAGAGGTGGGAGGGAAAGGGAGAGAGAAGGTAAATTGCACGGTAATGGAAGGAGACCCTCAGGGTTATACAGTGGAGGGGGTAGAGAGAGAGGAGGGGAGGGGAGGGGAGAGGTGGGGAGGGGGGATGGTGGAGGATGGGAAAGGCAGCGGAGCACAACAGACACTAGTATGGCAATATGTAAATCAATGGATGTGTAACTGATGTGAATCTGCAATCTGTGTATGGGGTGAAGGTGGGAGTTCATAACCCACTAGAATCAAAGTGTGGAATATGATATGTCAAGAAATTTGTAATGTTTTGAACAACCCACAATAAAAAATTAAAAAAAAAAAAAAAAAAAAATAACCAATGATGTAATAGTAAGTGGTGGACTCTTCAGTTTGCCATAGTTAGTAGTATATTTTTTTGGATAATTGTCTTGTCTCATCAGAATAAACCAGTCACCCTAATAGGAATTGTGCTTTCATTCTCTTAAAATTTTATTACAACCACATCATTAAAATGTACCAAGAGTTTAAGTACTAAAGTTCAAAAAGCAAGGTGAGAAGTTACTCTAAGAATATGTGTATGTAAGAGGCTGGTTTACCTTTCTTTTGTTGTTTTGGTACTGGGGATTGAATCCAGGGGCATTTTACCACTGAGCCACATCCCCACTCGTTTTTTATTTTGACACAGGTCTCACTATGTTGCTTAGGGCCTTGCTAAGTTGCTGAGGTTGGCCTTGCACTTGTGATCCTCTGGCCTCTACCTCCCAAGCTGCTGGGATTACAGGCGTGCACCACCACACCTGGCTTACTGACCTTTGTTTTTGTGTATGAATGGAGATTGTGGGAGTATGAGAGACTTGCATTCCTTGCAGATTTTGAGTTGAAAGTGCTGCTCAAGCTTAGGCAGTTCAGGTGAGCTAGACCAGGTGTAGCTCACACCTTCTAAAAGCACTTGCTTTCTGTTCTGCAACTTGTTTCTGTTCTGTGGAGTCCCATTCTCCTTTAAGTGTAGTGTGCACCCGGTTATCAGACAGTGTGCTCGATTCCCTCACCTCTTTGATGTGTGTGTTTTTCATGCTGCTTTGAGTGCCTTGTTTCACTTTGATCAATGAGACTTGAAAACTGAATGGTAGGTAAAATAGTTTTGTTTCCACATAAAGAAGTCAGCCTTTGCCTTTTTCCAAGTACAGTGGGATTTGAAAAGCTGTTTTCCATGTCATCTAATATTTCTGTGCTTCTACTATTGGTTACTTTCCTTGTTGACTAGGCAGTCTTTTTTTTAAAATTTTAATATTTATTTATTTAGTTATTTAGTTTTCGGCGGACACAACATCTTTGTTTGTATGTGGTGCTGAGGATCCAACCCGGGCCGCATGCATTCCAGGAGAGTGCGCTACTACCGCTTGAGCCACATCCCCAGCCCAGACTAGGCAGTCTTTGAGAAAGCCGTTTAAGATAGTGGCACATTTTCAGTGTTGATGGATAAATACATAGATCAGTTCATACTGTATTTTGGTTAAGAAAATCCTATACAGCAATTTTTAGTATCTTTTAGATCATGTCACTTTGTTTACTTTTACTTCCTGTTCATAAAATAGTTTTCTGCTTACTTTAAGGAAAGTTGTCAAATGTTTAAACATAAAATGATTTAAATTTGAGTTTAACTTTGATTAAACATAATCTAAATAATCTTAAAGTTAGATACTTAAAGATTCCATGCATAGATCTTCTGTGTGATGAAATTTGCTGTTTATTTTCCTAGCAGAAATTCAGGAAGCAAAGGCTCCCAGTCCTTCCATAAACCGGCAAACCAGCATTGAAACAGACCGAGTGTCTAAGGAATTCATCGAATTTCTCAAGACCTTCCACAAGACTGGACAAGAGATCTATAAACAGACCAAGATGTTCTTGGAAGGAATGCATTACAAAAGGGTAGGTTGAGAGTACTCACTGCTGTCAGAGGCTTAGTTTCAGGAAAAGTCATTGAGATAATATTAGAGTATAATCTTGTGATTTTACCCTGAGAAAATCAAGACCAATTGTTGACCTAAAAAAAGCCTCAAAACCAAGTTAAAACCTGGCTCTGGGCAAGTACTTTTCCACTGCAGCTCAATGAAGTTTAGATCATCTGACTTTGAAGCCACTTGAATTATGTGCTTGAGTAATAGCCCTGGTAGCTTGTTACCTCGTAGGGAGGATAAACTGCAAGCAGCCAGACACCTTCACTCTCTCTAATAATGACTAGACTGGTAGGTCTAGGCAGTGACATTGTTTGTTTTGTCTTCTGTATTTGTGTTTTTAGTTTTCCTCCTCTTGTTCAGGTAGGGAAAGATAGAATTTAAACACTGAAGGGGGGACTTCAGCACTGTCTAGTCTCAGTCCCTGTGTTTCATAGATGAGGGAGCTGAGAGCCGTAGAGGAGGGAGGGACCTGTTCAAGACTACCGAGCTAAATTTTTACCAGAGTAGGAACTGGAGCTGTGACTTCCACACCTGTCTCTTGAGCCCCTGATTTCTAAACCATAATTTCAATTGCAGAATTCATAAGACTACCCATGAAGGAATTTATTTTGTAAACAGGGGTTAATTCTACTTTAACATTCTTTAACCTTGTCAAAATTAAATCTAAATATCTCTTCTGTGACCTGAAGAGATCTTAAGAGAAAGGAAAAAGGGAATTTTAAAAACAGCAGAATGTTGAACTGATTCACGGTTTTCAAACATCACTATACCAATAAGCAGTAGACTTCTTTTTTTTTCCCTCCCAGCTGGGGATTGAACTCAGGCCTCATGCATGCCAGGCTTTACCACTGAGCCACATCCTCAGCCATTTTTATTTATTTTGAGATAGGGTCTTACTAAGTTTCCCAGAGTGGCTTTGAACTTTCTGAACTTGTGATCCTTCTGCCTCAGTCTCCCTAATAACTGGGATTACAGGTGTATCCAGCTTGTCAAAATATTTTTTTAAATGTCAAATTCAGTTTGTAAAGGAAAAAGCTTTCTTTCTTGCTCTTTAGGAATATAATGACATTGTAAGTAAGCAGCCCTCTTTTCCTTTTTAGGTATTTTGAGCAAATAATTACATTTGGAGTTCAGGCATGGAGGCAAGCTGTTGTTTTGTTTGTTTGTTTGTTTGTTTAATGTTAGAAGCAATGATAGGCTTCCTTAATGAAGAACTCAGAGTTCATTTGACATACAGCTCTCCTTTTCTAGCAGAATTAAAAACTGAAATTTTATACTTTATTCTTTAGCCCATGGTCTATGACACATATAGCATACATACTGTTTCATACTATATTTAAGAAAGCTACTCAATTGGGTTTGTTTTACTTTTGCTCAGAAGTGTGCTTTTTTTTTTTTTTTTTTATAAGATGTTTATGCTGTTACAGTACAAGCTTTTTTTTTTTTTTTTTTAGAGAGATAGAATTTTAATATTTATTTTTTAGTTTTTGGCGGACACAACATCTTGGTTTTGTATATGGTGAGGAGGATCGAACCCGGGCCGCACGCATGCCAGGCGAGCGTGCTACCGCTTGAGCCACATCCCCAGCCCCAGAAGTGTGCTTTTTTGACTTTTTATTCAGTGTACTAAAATCAACAGGTGTAGGTACCACCATGCATAGCTCTTTTCAGGGCATTATTAATTGGTATCAGAGACCTGGGTATGGTCTCAGTTTCCTCCTGTTTTAAGAGCTGCTATGCAGCCCAGTCTTCATTTCTGCACTGTGTCTCATGGTTATGTGGGCAAAGCCTAAGCAGGCATCTTAGGAATCTTCGGCATGTGACACAAGGCTTGGCACACACCCGGTAGTGAGCAGATGTGGTGGTGGTGGTGTTTGGTACTGGGGATCAAACCTGGGGCATTTCACCATTGAGCCACATCTGCAGCCCCCGCCCCCCCTTTTTTTTTTTTAATTTGAGACAGGGTTTCCCTAAGTTGCTTAGGACCTCACTAATTTGCTGAGGCTGGGTTCAAAGTTGTGATCTTGCCCCAGCCTCCTGAGACACTGGAATCACAAGTGAGCGCCCATACCCAGCAGAACAGGTTTGTTTGTTTGTGGGGTTTTTTTTTTTTTCTTTTTGGAGCACTGAGGATTAAACTCGGGTACTCAACCACTGAGCCGCATCCCCAGCCCTATTTTGTATTTTATTTAGAGATGGGGTCTCACTGAGTTACTTAGCGCCTCTCTTTATTTAGCTGAGGCTAGCTTAGAACTCCTGATCCTCCTCCCTCACTCTCCTGAGTCACTGGGATTACAGGCATGTGCCACCGTGCCCAGCGGTTTATTTATTTGTTTGTTTATTTAAATATGGTGCCGAGGATCAAACCCAGTGCCTCACATGTGCCAATCAAGTGCTTTACCACTGAGCCACAACCCCAGCCCAAAGTATTTTCTTGATTAAAAAAAGTTTATTATAACCTCTACAGATGACATATATGAGTTTATTTATAGCCAGGTACTACCTAGCTGCTAAAAATGATTAACCTAGCTCTTCTCTGGGAATGTGAGATGAACAACATACCTGAACAGTTCTGGCCAGTAATTGAACTTGAATAAAACAGAACAAAAACAGTTTGTACTCTCTTATTTGTCTGGATGTAGAAATACTTAAAATAATGAACCTGGTGTGACTGCCTTTTTCAGCATATGAGGACTGCATACATGGTATACTTGAAATGAGTATGCTTAATTTTTAAATTTTATTTAAAAGGATTAGACCTCTGGTGTGCTTATTTTCCTGAAAAATCATTGAAGGCAGCAGAAATAAGCAATTAAAAAATATGAGGCTGAGGATATACAGATATATAGAGTGACTTCCTAGTTGTGTAAGAGGTAGGTTCAATCCCTAGCTATGGGGGAGGAAAAAAAATTAAAACCTAAATAGATTAAATAGATTAACAGCAGTACAAAAGAGATTTAATGAAGGCAGGAGATGTAATTTAGTGGTAGAGCACTTACCTAGCATGCATGAGGCCGTGGGTTCAATCCCCAGCACCATAAAGGAAAGAAAAGAAAAAAGTTAACCCGAACAATAGGAGATCTAAATTCTAATAATGGGAGTCTCACATGAAATACATAGAAAACTTGATTAAATAGTCAGTTGCATGTTTTCAAAACTGAAGGTGAAAAAAAAAGTTAAACAGTACCTTTCAGTATTAATATTGAAAGAGATATGCCCATTTCTGTTTTAAACTATAAAGAAAAATGTTTTTACGAAAAATAATTGATTTTGTACATAGTCATTATAGAAAGGTAATTCCAGGTAATAGTTAGCAAATACTTGAGGAAAAGGGTTTATTTTTATATTGCTGGACTATTTTTTGTGGAAAAACCTTTTGGAATTTTGTAGAGGTTAAAAGAATTTATGAGCACAAACCTGTCCCGTAGGTCTTGTGACAAGTACTGTGAAGGTGCAATCACCTTACTTGCAGCCTGACTACTGAGCCAGCCGTGGTTTCATGGATTCTGGTAGAAGACATGAATCTCCTGGGTCAGAGATAAAAGGCCAGTTTATTACTGATAGCAATAGCCAAATTATCAGCATTTGCACTAATTCCTTCAGTATCAAGTCCTACGGGCAATGCAATGATGACAGGTAATGCTAGTAGTCACAGTTGCATTAGAGAAGAGGAACCTTGAACTTAGATTCTGAATCTTTCACATGGACAGTGAGTCAGCCGGATCTTTGCTCTAAAAGGAATCATTGTCTTATTGTATTGGGACAGTAAACAATCTACCCTTTCCTCTTTCTCTGCCTCCTAGTACTCTATATAAATACCCTTGAAAAGAGTGCAATGTCAAGGCCCTCATTGCCTCTGTTGTACGGAAGAGATGAGGGTTATTTCCCAGTGTCTTCACAGTATTACAAAGGGGGATGATAATAACGGATCACATTTACTCCTTCAGAGAAGGTTGAGCTAACCACATGCCCGGCTCTGATACTGGCCTGAGGTATAATGGTGAACAAAGCCCTCTTAGCCATGAGTTTTAGTAGGGGGGTTGGGGGTGGGAATAAGCAACAATCAGATCTATTAGAAAAAAGTTTTCTGAATTATAACATAAAATTTTAGTGACTGTGCAAAACCGGGGATGGTGATCCATTATCACCAGTACAACAGGACACTTAGGTCTTGAAAAGGTCAAAGTGTTTCCAGTTAACTGAGTCGAATAATAATCCTATGAATGACTACAGTTTGTTCATAGTTAAGCTGGGCATGGTGGCAAGCACCTGCATTCCCAGCTGCTCAGGGGGCTGAGGCAGGGGAATCTGCCCAGGAGTTCACAGCCAGCTTGGGCAACAAAATGAGACCCTGTCTCAGAAGAGAAAAAAGTGAGAGAGTTACATGTCCTTCTTGTTTACGGTGATAATAGAATAGCAGAATGCTGGCCTTTTATTTTCCCCTTTAGACAGAAGGCTCTGGGAGCATTTTATTAACCTTTTTATATCATCGTTGGGCAGTTTTACTATTTATGTATTAAGTTTCTTTCTAAGTGGATAGAAATATGATTTTCAGAAAATTTTAGGGGGAAATAATCTTTGGGAAAACAGAATGATAGAAGTATAAAATTTTTGTGAAGAGGAGGGAAGAAAAATTCGTGGAAAGGAGGCTTCTAAAATCTAGCAGCCTTTGAGATGTATTCTAAAATGAAAGTTATCACAACCAGATGAGATTTTGGTAAAAATCAGTGATACCAGAAGCAGTGTGAGTTCTTCAGGAGCAAATTTTACAACAAGTGGAGAGAAGGGGAGACAGAGCCCCATCTTGCTACCAGCTGCTGAAAGACCCAGCTTACGTATAGACTGTTCTAGATGCGAGTTTCCTGTGGAGGCTAAGCGGGAACATCTCAGAGGAAAGGAATGAGATTTATCACAGCTGTGGAGAGAAGCTGAGCTGAGCTGCTGGCGCTGTTTCAGTGGCCAGGGGAGGTGAGTGGGAATAACTTGTAAAGTGGAGCTCGAGGAGAGTGGGGGTGCTCAGTGCTGCGTTGTGTGCGAACCCACCAAGGCGGGAGGCCAAGATTTCCTGCTGAGGATTGATTCTAAGCCAGCCAGGGCTCCTCTGTGGATGACCAATGTAGACAGCATGGGACTGCAGGCAGAGTGACCCCAAAGTGCCATGGGGCTTACCGACCTGGAAGGCTGTGCTTTCTAGGGGAACTGAGGGGACTGGTGAGAGTGAGGCCAGTCTGCACAGAGAACAGTGTAGTAGTGTAGAGAGGTGGAAAGCCAGGAACAGGGCCTCCAACAGCAGGGCAGTTAGGACTCAGCGGGGTGGTTTGGGCCGAGGGCACACCATGGACACTGAGAGAGTCGGTGTCCAGATCCTGAGCCGGGACCACCAGTTCAATGCTAGTATCTGAAATAAATTGAAAAGTGGGAAAGAGCAAAAGTTGGGGAATAGCTGAGTGCAGATGGGTGGTGAGGAAGACCCTTTTCACATCAGCTTAAAGTTGACATTGACATTGGAGAAGGTGAACAGTAAACACACACAGTGTACCTGTATAATCACTAAAACCAAATAAAATCACAGAGCCCCACGTTATAGGGGTGTGGTGAAGTCAGTGACTGCACTCGGCTAATGGCAGTGCACATTGGGTTTCTGAGGATTGGCTCCAGCAGTAGATACTTGGAGCTATCAAGGTGATTTAATGCCACTTTTGGAATAGTTACAAAAAAAATAACTCAAAAGATAACAGTCTCAAAAAAATTGTACATAGGCCGGGCTCAATGGTGTACAGCTGTAATCCCAGCACCTTGGGAGGCTGAGGCAGGAGGATTGACAGCTATAATCCCAGCACCTTGGGAGGCTGAGGCAGGAGGATTGGGAGTTCAAAGTCAGCCTCAGCAAAAGCAAGGCACTAAGCAACTAAATAATATATTTAGACTCTGGCTCTAAATAAATAGAAATATTTATAAATAAAATACAAAATAGGACTGGGGATGTGACTCAGTGGTCAAGAGTTCCCCTGAGTTCAATCCCTGGTCCCTGTCCACCTCAGCAAAAAAGAAAAATTGTTCATAGCTACTATACATAACAGTAAAAAAATGGAAGCAGGGGGCTGGGGTTGTAGCTCAGTGGTAGAACAATCACCTAGCATATGTGAAGCACTGGGTTCAATTCTCAGTACCACATTTTAATAAAAATAAAATAAAGTTCCAACAACAACAACAAAATATTTTAAAAAGGGGAGGGGGAAGCAGGCCAAATGCACAGTGATAGAGCATGGTTAAACAAATTGGCTACGCCATCAAAGATGATTAAGTAGATTAGATGGATGAAAATGTACATAAGTTATGTTAAGAATATGTATATAGAGTGAAAAAAGGTCATGACATCATAAAATATGAATGGGTAGGTTATTGTCCCTTGCAAATGAATATAATTTGTAAGTACTTTTCAGATGAGCACCAGTGCAAGGAGTTGGTTTGGAAATCTCTCACGGTTGAGAGCTCTGCTTGGGGGCTTTGTCCAGCTGCCAAGCAGCCTTTTCCTCCCTCTGTTTCAGGATCTGAGCATTGAGGAGCAGTCAGAGTGTACTCAGGATTTTTACCAGAATGTGGCGGAAAGAATGCAGACCCGTGGAAAAGGTAACTGTGCTAGCCAGCCATTGAGGGTTGCTGGTGTTAGCACAGGCTGCTGCCCACCTCCTAACAGTGCCCTCCTCCTCTACCAGCCTGGCTGGTTGGCCACAGCCTCCAGTGAACCACTGCATGACGTCGTGGCCACTGGCTCATGCTTGGCAGTGCCTTCCAAGACAACCAAAGCAGTGGAGCGTTGTCTGAATAGGTGTTGCCATCTCTGTTGTGGGTGAAGGGGAAGTGGATTGAAGCCCTTTGTCCATTGGAAAGCTTTTCTAAACGAATCCCCATTTAGAGTCACCATTTTGGTGAGTCATTGTTCATGATGATGATATGTCCTTAAGGGAATTCGGGCAACCAAAAAAAACATGAGAATCATGGACTTGGGATTTTAAAGATTCTTCTGAAATTTGACCTGCTTTGCTGTTGTACCTTAGGATGTACTCAGCACACACGCCTATCCGAGAACCTGCCCCACATGTACCTCGGGGATCTCAGTGGTGTTATAGTAACCCTCCGAGAGATGAAAGGAAGCTGGCCAGTGTCCCTGGGTCTTGGGAATTCAAGTGCTTGGCTGATGACCGTGCTGAGGTTATGTAGCAGATAGTGTGAAGACGTTCTCTTAATTTAAAATGTCCGCCCTTCTCTTGAGCTTTTTGTATCCACCGTGTGTTTCAGTCCCTCCAGAAAGAGTTGAGAAGATAATGGATCAGATTGAAAAGTACATCATGACGCGCCTCTATAAACACGTGTTCTGCCCAGAAACCACAGACGATGAGAAGAAGGACCTCGCCATTCAGAAGAGGATCAGGTACTCATCTTGCTTTCTTCTGTTTGGAAGAACACGTTGTCCCAAAGTAAGGCACCTGCGCTTCAGCCCTTAGGAGACTGGGAAAGCCACACTGCCTGCCTGTGCCTGAGCACAGGACAGCTGTGGCCCCAGAGGAAGGGCCTGGGGTAGTCTTGCTCGTATGTCAGACTCCAGCAGTTTCAGATTTGTGTTTGAAATTGATTCACATCACCAAGATTTCCAGGGAACAGGACTGGTTTTGTGTTTCTGTGCATTCTTGTCTGGCAGGGGCCGTGAATACCCCCTCAGGGTGGCGGTGTCACCTTCCTTCGCACCTCTGTGCCCACTGTTCAGCCGTTCCTGCAGTCACTCCTTTCCCAATCTCAGGACCAGTGGAGTGAGCCACAGTGCTCTGCAGTCCACTGGCGGTGGCACGCTTGGGGACAGGCCTCCTAGGTGTGGGAATGGTTCCAGGGCTGGGCCCTAATGTGTATGGAGGAGAGGGCCCTGGGAATCCCAAACAAGGGCCACATAAGGGACTGGTAGCTCTTTACCCAGAGGTAAGCAGTCGGTGCTGGGCCAGGGGAAGGTGGAGTCCATGGTGGGAGCCAGATGTAGCGAGTGGCTGCTAGACTGAGGTGCGGGCGAGCATTAGCCACACAAGTAGAGAGGTCCACAGCAGTCTTGGTAGGGACTTGGGGAGTGTAAAGGACATTGAGGATGCAGAGCAGCAGTTGTTCTCAGATCTACATGTAGAGTGCTTTCCAGTCTCAGTAGTAAACACTCCTTTCACCCAGTGTAATGGTCTCGTGCTCTTCCTGTGACAGGCGTGGAAGAGACACCTCGTTTTAGCATTCTCTTTACTCGGTTAGGTCAATTGAGCTCCTGATGCATGCAGAGGTGTTGCTCTTGGGCCCAGGATGGCCTGATTGCTCAGCCATGCCCCTTTCCTGTAGCTGAAGGGAGGGCAAGACAAAAGACCATCTCCCATTCTTGGAACTCTCTTGACTGTCTCTCTCTTTGTAGAGCCCTGCACTGGGTTACACCTCAGATGCTTTGTGTCCCTGTCAATGAAGAAATTCCAGAAGTGTCTGACATGGTGGTGAAAGCGATCACAGGTCAGTGAAACAGGCTGTTGGTGGGTGCTCCCTGGTGGCTTGACATTGCTGTCAGTCCAGTTTTCAGTGAGCAAAAGTCAGGAAAGTGTTTGCAAGAGTGTTTTCTGAATTTTATGCATTCAGAATAGCAGATAAACTCCTCTTCCCCTTCATTTTTAGAAATCAGAGTCTTATTGTTTGAGCATTGAACTAGGGGCAAATAGAGCTAAAATGAATTTCTTAAGACTGAGTTGCATTTGTGTATTCAAAATAATTTTGAATGCAAGCAGGGAATTGGTGAGGCACAGTAATCCTTGAGCTGGAGAACATTAAGAAGGTGCCTCTGATTGGTCATTAACCTGAGGGAGAGGTATGCTTGGAATGATTCCCTGGTTTGATCAGGAAGAAAAACAAAGTGCCCCAGATGGATGTGGCCCTATCATTCTGTGCAGGTGCAGGCATCTGATGCCGTGTCTGTCCATTATTCAGAGGAGTAACCACTCCTGCTAGGAGGTGGTGCAGGATGGCACAAGTTCAGCATAGTCGTTAAGAGGCCTTGGCCAGCCTCCCCTCCACCAGGGAGGGAGTCAGAAGGCTCCTCCCCTGGCTGCTGCTGCTGCTGCTGCTGCTGCTGAAGTCCTGCTGGGGAGCAGAGGGGGTCCCTAGGTGCTGCAGTGCCAGAGGCAGGCCACCAGCAGGCTGCTCCAGGAGAGCCACCGGGAGAGATGGTGGTTTCACGAGGGCTGTGAAGAGGGAGTTCCCACATACTAGGTTCCCATGGGAACCTGCTTGTCTCCGTGCCTCTGTGCATGGGTCTCTCCAGATGTTCTCTGCCTCCTCAGGCTCTGCACCCTTCAGCTCCTGTAGCTAGGTCGGCTACTCTCATTTTTGTGCAGGTTCTGAGGACTAAGTGTATCTGGTCTAGCTAAATACTGTTGTCTTCATTGTGCCAGGCTTCCTCACTAGGCTTTCACAGGTCCCAGTACTGAAAGCTTGGTCCTTGTCCCCGATGCCCATCAACAATAAGGTCAAGGTTTTGAAAGGGATAAGTTCCATTGCTCTGCCAGCAAAGGAGAAAGGCACTGGACTTAGGTCTCAGAGGCTGCCATTCTAGCTCTGGGGACAGATACTGTCAGAGGATGTGGCCAATGTTTACTTCATCCTTAAGAGGGCTGTTGTCCCACCTCCAGGTCTGCAGTCTCTTTGTTAAAATGGGCAGTAACTTGAAAGGCTGAGAGCTCGGCTGGGCATAGGAGGAGTGCTATTCCCTGGTGTTGTGGAGGGAGGGGGAAGGGGAGGGGGAGTGGAGTGGACCTCTGCTACTGCGCAGTCATCCAGCCCTACCCTCTGCTCAGGGACCCCGTAGGAGATCAGAGGTGGGCTTGGACTTGGTGTTTGGTTTTTCCAGAGACTAAAAACCACAGGGCAGACCTTGTGAAACCAAAAATCACAAGTGGAAAACTGTTGTTTGCTTAAAAATAGAACTAAAAAAGAGTATTGCAGGATGTCCAGAGTTGAACAGCCTTTGTAAGGCCATACTTTCTCAAGGCAGCTGAGATAGGGTTCAAGAGATCTTTTGATAGTAGGAATTCAAAAACAAACCTTCAAAAAGCCTTCTTGGTCTTTCTCTCCCATCTTGGTCCCCATGTCTTGTCACTTTCTAATCTAAAATTGTCTGCCTGAGTACAAGAGTCACCAGAGTGGACACTAGCTGTAAACAGTAAAATTAGGAGTATTGGCTGGATTTCCCAGGTCACCCCGTGTGCTCAGAGTTGGCCCTGTGAGTCTTGTTTGTTAACACACTAGTTGATGTCTGTCTCTAGAGGAAGGTAGATGGGGAAGGGTTCTCCTGGTCCCAGCCTTGGCACTGGGGCTCCTGGAAAGGGCTTCTCTTGGCACTGTGGGCTCCTGAAAAGGGCTTCCCTACTGTGATGAAAGGCTTTGAGACCCTTCAGAGGACAGTATGCTAGAGGAGCTGGTCATAGGGCCAGAAGCAGCTCACATGTGCAGATGTGCAGCAAAGTCAAGCATTCAGAAACAGCCTCGGGAGGATGGGCCCTGAAGCTGCAGGGAGAGATGGCCAGTGTACCCCTGTGTTTTTTCTCTGATAGCTAGAGGAAAGAAAGTTTAAAACCACTAATGTGAAAAACCAAAAACCAAAAAAGTTTTGAAATCTTAATTCTACAAATTTGATCTTAAAACTCCTTGAGAGATGCTCCAACAATAGTTTTATCTTTTAATCAAATTCAAGGAGAAAAATCTTATTCATTGAAAAACTTTTCCCAAGGGAACCACTGGATCTTGAAGCCTGGCCACGGCTGACCAGGTCTGAACCACCCGTTTCCCGGTGCAGTGGTCCTGAGGCCCGACTTGGCAGCTGTGGTGTCCTGGGCCGTGGACTTGCACCTAAGTAGGGAATGTCCACGGGGGCCTTGGCTGGTGCCCAGGGTTCATGTGAGGCTTCCAGTGTAAGGAGGCAGGGGCAATGAATGCAGCTGTCCAGGGGATGGTGGGGCAGGCAGGAGATGCAGCCAGTCCCTCCGCACGGTGTGGTTCGTACACTTCTGGGCAGGGGACCCATTTTCAGGGCAGAGAGGTAACAGCTGTGAGGTCTGCTGCAGAGCTGCAGAAATGGGGAGAATCATCCAGGCCAGTCAAACACTCTTCAGGAGTCCCTTTTCTTTCTCTCACTCTTCTCCCTCCCTCGCTCCCACCCTTTCTTCCTTACCTCCTGCAGTGGGGTCTCGCTGGGTTGCCCAGGATGGTCTGGAATTCTGGGCTCAAGTGAACATTCTGCCTCAGTCTCCCGAGTAGCTGGACTACAGGCGTACCACCTTTCCCAGCTTCAGGATTTCTTAAAAGAAGAATGTGTCCCCCCAGGGAGGAGAGGGAGGATCCCATCATCAGCTTCTCTTAGCTCCAAGAGTTTGGGTACAAGGAGATGTCAGTGCCTTTGGTCAGTGTCTAAAGTCCCTGTTCTAATTAAGCGGCTGCTCTTACGACCTCTGCCTGACCTGGAGCCATCTGCCTAGAACACTAGTTCTCAGCTGGGCACCTCTGCCTGACCTGGAGCTGTCTGCCTAGAGCACTGGTTCTCAGCTGGGTACCACTGCCCCCAGGGAACATTTGGCATCATCTGGGAGAGAAAAAAAAGTCATTTTTTTCCTGGTGCTGTGGATCAAGCCCAGGGCCTCAAGCATGCTAAGCAGGCACTCTACCCCGTCCCCATCTGGAGACTATTTGAATGCCTGCCACATCTACAGAGGAGCTGGTGGCTCTGGAGGATGAGGTCAGGGGTGCTCTGAACATCCTTGGGACAGTCCCCTACAGCTAGGTAGGTGCTAGAGTGAGAAAACATGACCCAGAGGTCTCTCCTGTGCTGCTGTCAGAACTCCACGAAAGATCAACCTGGATGTTGGGGTGGGCTAAGGTAGGCATACTCAGCCCTACTGGTTGCCAGTAAAAGCCCTGGACAGAGACCCAGTGCAGTCATTCAACAGCTTGAGTGTCAGTCACAGTAAGCAGTAAGGGTGGGAAATCATGACTCCAGGTAAAACAAAGGCAGCTGTGAGTTTCTTGCTTTTCGCTTTTTCCTCCCATTTCATCCAGTGAAGGGCCGTGTGAATCAGGGGGCTGCAAGCTGGAGTTGGGTTCCAGAAGGACTCAATTGGGGGCAGAGGAGCAGCACCTGGGAATCGTCCTTGTCCCATCCCCCTCCTGCTTCCCTCCTGCTTCCCTCCTGCTTCCCTTCCGCTTCCCTCCCCTTCCCTCCCCTCCCCTCCCCTCCCTCTGCCTGCCAGTTCTGCCCAACAGTGGCAGCCAGACACTTCACTTGTTACTCACTTTGGAAAGGAAAGACTAATGAGCAAGAGGTTGAAAGTTTGATAAAGACAAGACTGGGATGGAGCTCAGGGGAAGGGTGTGCAAGGCCCTGGGTTTGATCTCTTTGAAAAGGTTTAAAATAGAGTCTCAAAATCAACAGTAAAAGGTAGAAGGCTAAATAAGATAAATGAAAACAGTAACGATGGAGCTGGGCACAGGGTGTTCCCTGCAGTTTCAGCAGCTCTGGAGGCCGAGCAGGGGTTGCAGGTTTGAGGCCAGCCTGTAGGATTAGTAGGACCCTGTCTCAAAAAATTTTAGGAGAAAAAAGTAGTAAAACTGGTAAAGAAAAAAGGAGGTGCAGCGACTTACTCCAAAGTAGGGGTTGGGGGAGATTGGGACATAGCAGTGATAATTATAAGCCAGAATTGAAAAAGCCTGACCACACACGTGCGTTATGTAATTCACACATCCCAAAATGTGAGTGTGGCCAGTAAACACATTAGGCAGTTAAAACAAGGCCCCTACACTGTCTGGCACATCTGACCCCACACCTTGTCTTCCCAGCTGGGGTCCTGGGAGGCCCCCAGAGAGCAGGGCCCAGCGCACACCGCCGTCTGTCACTGCAAGTATGTGTGGTCAGGTTGAGCTACCTCCCCGCCTTTCCTTCCCCGAGGCCCAGCTGAATCAGATGTGTGCACATTGACGTACATTCTCTTCCTTGTGTTATTTGGGCCATATTGACAGTTATACTTAGACCATCCTTCAGCCGGGCGCATGGCCCATGCCTGTGATTCCAGTGACTTGGGAGGCTGAGTCAGGAGGATCACAAGTTTGAGGCCAGCTTTGGTAATTTAGCAAGACCCTGTCTTAAAATAAAGAGGGCTGGGGATGTGGCTCAGTGGTAGAGCACCCACTCCTGGGTTCATTCCCTGGTAACAAAAAAATGTAAAGATAAAGAAAAAAAACATCCTTTATAATCTCTTCTCCTGCATGTGTGTGAGAGTCAGACCGACACTGAGGATCAAACCCAGGGGCTCTCTTCCACTGAGCCACATCCCCACCCTTTGGTTTTCTGATTTGTTTTTTTATTAGACCATTACAGTTACGTATGATATTTGGGCTCCTTTTGACAACATTGTACATGCACAGAATTTGGTTTCAATCCCGCTCCCCTCCCTTTTCTTCCTCTCCTCTCTCCCCCTGTTTTTGATCTTCCTTTCACACCTTCATTTACCCATTTTTTATTGGTACTTTACATGTACACATAAAAGTGGTATTTCCTTTGGAGCTTTTATGTGTGTATATAACACAATTCTGTTAGATTCTGTTAGAGACAGGGTGTCACTACGTTGCTCAGGTTCTTAATAGGTTGCCAAGGCTGGCCTGAACCTTGGGACCCTCCTGCCTCCTGAGTCCCTGGATTGCAGGCGTGAGCCGCCCTGCCCAGCTGTCCTGCTCTTGTGCACTTCTAAGAGCCCATTAGTGTGGGGCATGTGGCTCACCCCAGTGATCATTGAAATTCAGGAGGCTGAGGTGGGAGGATTGCAAGTTCAAGGCCAGCCTAAGCAATTTAGGGAGATGCTTGTCCCAAAACAACAACAACAAAAAAAAAGAATTGGGGGATATGGCTCAGTGGGGTCAGTCCCTAGAACTGCAAAAAGAACCCCCTCGTTGGATTTGGTGGTAGTCACAGGCAGTGAAGTAGTTTTCTGAGAGAAATGAAGAATTATTTTGAGGTAAATTTATACCCCTGCTTTATCCCTTCTGCCCGCAAGTGGGTTGTCAGTGTCCTGCAGCTTCTGTGGACACCTTAGCTGATGGAGATCCCAGCCACGGGGACTAGCTTCTATGGGCCTAAGCGGGCTGCATTCTGAGAGCCACATGAGGGGCTTGGTGTGGTAGCCATGTTGCTTGCTTGATTAATTGATTGATTGATTTTGAGGATGGACACAATATCTTTGTTTTATTTATTTATTTATTTTTATATGTGGTGCTGAGGATGGAACCCAGTGGCTCACGAAGCATGTGAGGCGAGCACCAGCCATTGAGCCCCAGCTCCAGCCCCATGCCATGTTGCTTTTTACTTTATTTTTAACATGTTAACTGTACACGTTGGTGGGGTTTGATGTATGGCCACACATGCAATGATCCCATCAGGGTCATTTCCTAAGTGCTTGTGAGCTGTGGCTGCCCCTCTGCTGTGGAACCCTGGGTGGAGTCCCCACTGTCCAGCTGTGTTGTCCCTGTGACCAGCTTCCTCCTTCCCCCTAGGAGTCACTACTGTGCTTTCAGGTCAGCTTTAGCACAAAGTGGGCACCTTGAGACCTTGAGATGGAGTCTGAGATGCACAGAGAAACAGGCAGTGGGGAGGCTTCTTTAAACCATCTTCCTCTCAGTCTCCCACTGTGACTAGAAGCCAGCGGTGGACGAGGGCACGTTGTGTAGCTTCTCTCTCTTTTTTATTTGTGTATGTATCATATGTGTATTTTAGTTGTAGGTGGACACAGTGCCTTTATTTATCTTTATGTGGTGCTGAGGATGGAACCCAGTGCCTCTCCTGTGCCAGGCAAGCGCTCCGCCCTGAGCCCCAGCCCCAGCTCCCGTGTGCAGTCTCTCAGACCTCTGTTCCTCGCCCTGGGTGCTCTGAGCTCCAGGCGAAGCCTGTGGAAGCACTTGTGCTGCCTGGTGGGGCGCCTGCTCTGTGGGCGAACCCCAGTCACATTCATGTGCTGAGGGTGCAACCCAGTGCCTTACATGTGCCAGACAAGCGCTCCACCACTGAGCCCCACCCAGCCCTATCCGGTTGCGCTCTTGGGCTCTGGGTTTTTCATGCTAGGTGACCACTGGGGTGGGAGTCAGTGAGAACACCTGTGTAACCTGACAGATAAGGACAGTTACCCTCTTGCTTCTTGGGTGTGACTATTTTCCCACGCATAGCACTGTCTCTCTGCCCTGTAGACATCATTGAAATGGATTCGAAGCGTGTGCCTCGGGATAAGTTGGCCTGCATCACCAGGTGCAGCAAGCACATCTTCAACGCCATCAAGGTCACCAAGAGGGAGCCCGCTTCTGCAGATGACTTCTTGCCCACGCTCATCTACATCGTGCTGAAGGGCAACCCCCCACGCCTGCAGTCCAACATCCAGTACATCACCCGCTTCTGCAACCCCAGTCGGCTGATGACCGGGGAGGATGGCTACTATTTCACCAACCTGGTGAGGGCTGCGCTCAGTGTTGTGCAGGAGACCAGGAAGGGGGTGCTCCAAGGCCATGCGGGTCACTCACAGGCCTACGGCTGGTCCTTGCTCACAAGGGAGGAGTAGGCATGGCTAGGGTGCTCACTTTGTGCCACAGAGCCCTTGTGACCCAGAGTGAGTGACTCTACTGCAAACAGAGGGCACAGCCCCACCTCTATAGGCATCACCAGGGTCCTGCGTGGGCTGGGAGTCACTGCACTGGGCTGTTTCCACCCTGAGAGAGTCCAGTCTTCAACAGTAATCCGATTGATTGATTGATTGATTTTGAAGGAAAGGGGAGAAAGGAAAGAGACTTTGTGTGTGTGTGAGAGTGTGTGTGGTGCTGAAGATTGAACCCAGGGCCTTGTGCATGCAAGGCAGGCAGGCCACCAATTGAGCTGAATCCCCAGCCCTGTATCCCCCCCCCCTTTTTTTTTTTTTTTTTGGTACCATGAATTGAATTCAGGGTCACACCACCACTGAACCACATGCCCAACCCTATTTTTAGAGACAGGGTCTCACTGAGTTGTTTAGCGCCTTGGCATTGCTGAGACTGGCTTTGAACTCATGATCCTCCTGCCTCAGCCTCCCAAGCCACTGGAATTACAGGTGCGTACCACTGCACCTGGCTCCTATAATCCATTTTTAAAACGCTTGAAACAGTAGAATGAAATTCACCAAATTATACTGTGTACATACATGAATTCTACCCTTATGTGTATCTATAAAGTACTAATTTTAAACAAAAACTGTAAATATTAAACAGAAGGAAAACCAGTAGAGAGGAGGAACAGGGAGGGAAAGGGGAAGCACCGGGGACTGAGTGGAGCGAATTCTGTCCCATGCATGTGTGACTGTGTCGGGTGACCCTGTTCCTGTGTGTGCCTGTAGCACACCAGAGCAAGCCCCAGGAAGCGATGGGGGTCACTTGGCCTGCTCTGCTTCCCCCGGCATCCTGATGCCGCCTTTATCTGGAGTTGGTTTTGTCCCTTGGCTCCTGCCACCCACTTCCCCTTGTCCCTGTGTGGCCTTGGTGTTTCCCCCTTGAGTTCCTCCCTGGCATCTGTCCTCCACTGTCCGCTGTGCTGTCTTGCCTGGTCACAGAGTTCTGCCCGTCTTGGGCTCACACGATTTGCTGAGAGCTGAGACTCTCTCTCTTCAGTGGCCTTTTCTTTCCTGCCCTGTGTCCATTCACACTCCAGGAGTGTCAGGATCTCCTTGGGTTCCCTCCCCGGGCAGTAGGGGAGTGGCCACACAGAAGACAGTTGTGAGGGTGGCACATACTCCTTAGAGGGGTGACTTGCTCTACTTGTTCTGAGCAGTAGTGTAGGTGGGTGGGTTTCTCAGAAGATGTTCTGAGAGTCATCTGTTTCTCTCTGTTTTGTCGTACATACCTTTCTTGTGAAAATAGCTTTTTCCCTACTTCTTTTTATTGGCGCATTATAATTGTATTGAAAATAGCTTTTTAAAAAATATGCATCTAGTATATGTCCCTTGTAGAAAATTTTAGTCAGTATGAGAAAGCGGCAGGCCTCTCCTAACTGGGCCTTCTGTGCTGGCCGTGGCTGCCCAGTTGCTCCCCCCTGCAGAGCCAGGAATGTTAGAGCGCCAGCAACTCCCCCAGGGTCACACACCACTGCTCTTCAGGGACAGAGGTGACAGCTGACCACTGATGTTAATACCTCTCCAAGGACCAGAGGTCTATGTGTATCAGGACTTCCAGGATCCATAGGCACCCGCTGGCCCTGCCTGGCCAGAGCTCTGCAGGGAGTGGCTGGTGGGTCCCTGCGAGCTGCACACAGGCCTGGACCTCCTGGGAGAATGAAGGAAATATGGTTGGTGGTTTTTGAAGCTGACGTATATGGAGGTTCACTAGTCTGTGTGTTTACTTTTGCTTCCATTTTAACTTCTCTGTGACAAGGTTTTAAAAATCTGAATACTTACAGCTTGTCTAATCTGACTGTAATACCGTCCTCCTCTTCCTGCAGTGCTGTGCTGTGGCTTTCATTGAGAAATTAGATGCCCAGTCTTTGAATCTGAGTCAGGAGGATTTTGATCGCTACATGTCCGGCCAGACCTCTCCCAGGAAGCAAGAGCCCGAGGGCTGGTCTCCTGATGCCTGCTTAGGTGTGAAGCAGATGTATAAGAACTTGGATCTCCTGTCTCAGTTGAATGAAAGACAGGAAAGAATCATGAATGAAGCCAAGAAACTTGAAAAAGACTTAATAGATTGGACAGATGGAATTGCAAAAGAAGTTCAAGACATTGTGGAGAAATATCCACTGGAAATTAAGCCCCAAAGTCAACCATTAGCAGCTATTGACTCTGAAAATGTTGAAAATGACAAACTCCCCCCACCATTGCAGCCTCAGGTTTATGCCGGATGAGGACCTGACGTGGGAGTGTTGCTCTAGGCCTGCAGCCTTCAAGCGGGGGTCTGGAGTTCGACTCCATTGCTTATAGATGCCAGAGTATTTTTAAGGTACAGTTCGTGGGGGTGGTTTGTTTGTTTTGTTTTGTTTTTCCAGGTAGGAGAAGCTTAGTTAATAATAAAGTACTATTTATTTGAGTTATTGAAACAGATTCATTTAAGGTTTATGTGGAAACTTTGCCTACACCTTCTTTTCCTCCATGATTTTCTGTGGGCCTCCTCCTCAGTTCGCTGTGGTCTGGTTTTGGGGAGTAATTGCCTTCTAAAGGGTGAAACAAGCAAATGCTGTCAAGTTGTGTTTAAGAGAGTCCTCTGTTACCACTGTCCCACGGTTTGAAGGAGTTTGTAATTGTAAAGACAGAAGAAATGTTGATAAGTAAATATGTAAAATTGTAAATATGTATAAAAAAAAGAACGGGTGTCTGCTGCATGTGGCATTTCGTGTGTTTTTTTAATTTAGTTTAAAATGAGCTCTGTGGGATATTTGTCTTTAGCACCATCTTATTTGGTTTGCCCACCCAGAGGAACCCCGGAGCCTTTCTGTGTGCCCCTTGTACTGTGGACTTCATCTTGGACAGTGAGGTCAGTGTAGCCGAGGCTGTGACACCAGTGAGGTGACACCAGTTGTCCTAAGTCACGGCCACTTGCTGGTTGTCTAGGTTGTTGGACATGAGCTGGCCCTGCTGGCACCTGCCCCTGTTCAGCCAGCAAGTCTGGCTGGCCCTGGTCGGGGTGTGCCGGGGGAGGTGGGTGTGACGAGAGCTGGGGGGAGCCCTCAGCAGGGCTGCGCGTGGTGATGGTGCCCCTCTGCCTCCTTTGGAAGGGGCTCTCTGCAGTGCTGACAGGCCCTGGCCGGAGAATGTGGCCTAGGGCTGCCTGTGCTTTGGGGGTGTTCAGCAGCGCTCCAGCCCTCCGTGCCACTAGCAGCAGCAGTCCCTCAGGGCTGTGGAAAACTGCCCACTGATCCCATTGAGAACCACAGGCCTCTCGTGAGCAGGGGAAGCCACCTGGTGGTCCTCGCCGTGGGGCGCTGGCTGCCTGCAGTGTGCAGCCTTCATCCCTGACCAGTGATGTCTGTAGGTGTCAGGGTGCTTGTGAGATGGTGAATGGCCCTAGGGCACCATCCTGAACAGCGTCCCCCACAAGCAGTCAGGTAAGGCCCCTGCTCTCCCAGTACCTCTGAGAGCTCACTGCAGGTCTGCAGGCTGGTGATTCAGGAATAAAACAGGGTGAATGTGAACTCTTCACCCTTTAACTGTACACATAGAACCTGTCCCACTCGACACAGCTCCTGTCCTCAAGTGTACCGAAGACATGAAGCAATCGAGCCTCCCAGTCACCAGCTCTCAGGCACGGTAACAAGTCCATCTGTGCTGGTGAGAATCTCCCTGAGTAACGTGGCCCACAGGTTTTGGTGGAACGCTTTCCCATTTTTCCTTTTTGTTTCGTATGTACTTTCTAGGTGCTAATAGAGGTATACAGAGTCTTAATTCTCCAGGAAATACAGTTGACGGGGTTGTACATGATGATCTTTAAATAAAATATGCAAATCAGCCTCCCACACAAGCTGATCTACTTGGGTTTCTCACAGCTCATTAAAGTAGCGTGGAGAGTCCCCATGGTCCAGCTCTGCAGGTGGGACTCTGCCGCGGGCAGGAGGCGTGGGTTGTCTGGAGTGGCACCACAGCGCCAGGGTTTCCGCTCTCCACAGGGAAATGTGGTGTGTCATGTCCTGTAGCTGTCGTGACTGGAAGAGCCTTCTATAAAGAAGTTCTTCTCCATGGGTGTTCACGGTCCGTCCCTCTTCCATATAGGTCGACTTTGGCTCGGTATTAGGAAGACATACATTATTACTGACGTTTTCAGGTGATGAAGATGTCCTTTTTGAGCTATAGTCAACCTTTATCATCCTTAAAAATGGTACATTAGAGAAGTTTTCCAGCTAAAACTCAGAATGAGACAGGAATATCTGCTATTTCAGTTGACATTGTGGAAGTTCTGAGGCAGGATAAAAGAAATGCAAAAGAAAGGAGACAAAGGGCAGAGAGACACGTGAACCCGAAAGCCTCGAGCCAATGCACCCCCTTCCTCCAGGCCTCTCACTCCCACACTTCTGGGAAATCTGTAAATGTGGAGTCCCTGGAAGTTCACCCACTTGTGAAAGTCACCTTGTGCACCGTTGGTCAGCCTGTGCCGTGAACAGATGAAGCAATGGCGGGACACTGGCTTAAGAACCCTGTTGTCCAGGGACTTTGAAGCGTTGCCTGCTGATCAGGTCTCAAAGACCACGTGAGCCCGAAGAACCTGAGGACACATCAGGCCCCAGGACCCTGGGCGATTACCAGACCAGGGCACCGCACTCTGCCGCCAGGCCCCTTGTCCCTCAGCGCACATCGCCTGCCCTCCTCAGGTGGTCTCTGCCTCTGCTGAGTGTCCGTAAGCCCACTTCTGTGCACTTTGACCAGGACCTCACTTGCCCCAAGCTGAGTTCCCTCTCCAGCCCTCCTCGGACCCCTGCTGCTGACAGCTCTACCCAAGGTCAAGTCTTCAAACAGAAATGAAGGGAAGGTGGTGGAGGGATGAGAAGTCGGCAGGTGGGGAGGACCTGTGCTGCAGAGCTGAGAGGCTTGCCTTTGGTTTTGGGATTTTTGTACCATTTTACAACCTCCCATGAATTGATTGGCATGAAGGTGGCCAAGGAATTCCAAGTTGTTGCAGAAAACGATATTCTTCCTGCATCAAAGTGTTCTCTACATGATAAATTTAAAGGGAAAAACTATTAGAACTCTTTAGATAGAGGGCTCTCCAAATTAAAAGGATTTAGTCAGCCATTACGTAACAAGAACTTTGAGGCTGCTTTTGCTGAAAACACGGGACTCTTCCCTTGGGTCTGCAAAATGTGGAAAGAAATTTACATTTCTCCCTCTGTTCGCTTCTGTCTCCTCTGTGCTGAGCCAGTCAGCTTGGATTCCAGGAGCAGCCGGTCTGGCCAGAAACATCTTGTAATGAGTAGAAACTGCCCGGCTCCTCCCACCTGCCACAGCCACCTTCTCATCCCCAGACAGTGGTCAGCCAGACTGCAGTAGTCTGGCTCCTGTCAGTACCCCAAGGACAAGACTGAGGACGTGGTTCTTCCTAATGTGGCCATAATGACCGAAGTTTCTTTTCTGCTTTCACTGTTATTTTTCCCATTTGGTAAAGGACAAGTTCCAGATGTGACTAGGACCCTGGCATTGGGGCTCCAACCTAGGACGAGTACAATTAGATACTAGCTAGAAAGGACCAGGTCTACTGACACATTCTTGCAATTAGCAGCTACAAGCTAGGTAGCATCTAAGTGTCTGCCAAACCTACAGTCAGGAGCTGTTGGTGATGACAGTTTGGAAGGGAAAGCATGAGCTGTTTACTCTGAACTTGTGCTGGCCACTGATGAGGGTCCCAGGGCAGCTAGAAGCAGGAAGGGCCATGGGTTCGTACAGTCACTGAAGAGAAGTGCTTGTTTCTGGATTGGGGAAGTAAACAGGAAGGTTTTTGAGTCGAGATGTGCAGTCACAATGTGGATAGCTTCTCTCCTCCCTCAATTCTCTAGCCTCTAGTTGAATTCAGGATAGCTCAGACTCCTTCTGTGTCACTTTCTGATGGAGAGACGCAGGGTCAGGAGCAGTGGCACCACCTGTGATGCATTCTTGTCAAGAACAATCAATTGCCATCTAACCAAGTTCTCCTCCCTGACGTCCAGTCCATGATGTCAACCGGAAATACAGCAGGTCCTTGTTTCCAACAAGACACCTGCGTCAGGCCCTGGTAGACCAGGCTACGGATCATGGAGTCATTTATACTCAGGTTCCCCATCATCAGCCTGGAACTGAGTTCTCATCTGCCTCCTGAGGAATCAGGATGCAGGGGCCCATGGCTCACAGCCAGTGTCCTTCCTGCCCTTAATCATCACCGCTCTTGACCTTTAGGAAGACTGCCCTGAAATAACCCTGAAATAAATTTTCTATTACTCTGTCTCCCTAGACCTGCAGCTTACAAGAAAGTAAATTCAAAACGACTAATCTTTTTTTTTTTATATCAGAATTCTCTTTTTTTAATACCTCTATTTTATTTACTTTGTGTGGTGCTGAGAATGGAACCCAGTGCCTCACACGTGCAAGGCAAGTGCTCTACCGATGAGCCCCAGCCCTGACTCATCTTGTTAGTGGTTATTTTGCTTTTTACAGCCCTTCTCTGTCTGTAGAACCCACCTCTTCTGCTCAGCAGCCTGTCGGAACTCTGATTCTATCTCGTGGAGTATTGCATACGATTCTAAGGTCACAAAGCCACTGAAATGTTGGGGGCTTTTTTTTTTTTAACCAGGGATTGAACTCAGGGGCACTTGACCACTAAGCCACATCCCCAGCCCTGTTTTGTATTTATCTAGAGACAGGGTCGTACTGAGTTACTTAGCACCTTGCCTTTGCTGAGGCTGATTTCAAACTCATGATCCTCTAAAGCCACTGGGATTACAAATGTGGACCACCATGCCCAGCTTAAAATCTTAAAGTTTGTTGCAATTTTGACAACATATAGGGAAGAGAAAAAAAAAGAAACAGAAAAGAATAAAAAATATGGGACATTTTCTGTGATAATTGAGACAGGAGAATTGCAAGTTCAAAGCCAGCCTCAAAATGAGACCCTGTCTCAAAAAAAGAAAGAAAGAAAAAAAAAAGGACTGGGGATGTGGCTCAGTGGCTAAGGACTGCAGGGTTCAATCCCTGGAACAACAACAACAACAACAAAAAAAAAACTTTTAGCCAGCCTAGATGTCCATCAGTGGATTAATGTATTTAAAAAAAAATGGGGCTGGGGCTGGGGCTTAGTGGTAGAGCGCCTCCCTAGTATGTGTGAGGCACTGGGTTGGATTCTCAGCACCACATATAAATAAATAAAAATAAAGTTCTATCAATAACTAAAAAAAATAAAATTTAAAAAAAATGTGGTATAGGGCTGGGGTTGTGGCTCAGTGGCAGAGTGCTTGCCTGGCATGTGTGTGGTCCTGGGTTCCGTCCCCAGCACCAAAGTTTTTTTAAAATGTATTCAATTTTGCGATAGGAGATGGTTCTCATTCAGCAGTGGTTCCACTTAGGATTTTCAACTTTACAATGGTGGGAAAGTGATATATGTTCTGTAGAAATGTCAAGTTTTGAACTTTGATCTTTCCCTGGGCTCTCTCCATGCTGGGCAGTGGCCCCCAGAACTGTTCCCAGCTGGCCACCCATCCCAGGGCACAGAGTCAGGCGGGTGCTGTGCTGCCAGGCTGGGGTGCTCAGGAGGTCGGGTGTCTTCTGTGCGTCCTTGACCTACGATGTTTTCCTCTTACAGTGGGTTGGCTCATCAGGAGGTTACCCAGCATAAGTCAAGAAGAGTCTCTATCAGCACAAACAGGTG